AATAGTGCCCGAAAATAATCCTTGACTGCTTCCCAGAACATAAGGCTTGTTTAAGAAGCAATTTTAACTTTTTTTTAACCTTTGCATTAATCTCATCACTTGTATAATCTTCTCTTACTATGTAGTCAGCCTATGCGTAGAAATTAATTGGTGAGAGAAAAATGGACCTGCAAAAAGTCTGTGGTATGGATGTGTATGTACATGCACGTGTCTGTGTGCATGTAGACATACAAAACTACCTGCGGGTAATGCAGGCACAAGAGCCAGTGGAGCTTCTCACACAAAGTAAGAGTTTAAAATAACTGATTTCATAACAAAAGTTCAAGTTTTACAGTGTATGTTCATAGTGTATGTTTGTGTAGACTGTCCTTATTTTCTAGATAGGCAGTTTTTAAATTGAGAGGTTTTAAAGCAGAATCGAAAGATTGAGATTTGAACAGTCTAAAGGCCCTCAGGAAATGAAAACTCACCACAGTCCTCCCCACTTAGGCTCCCAAAAATTAGAGTGATCTTTGTGTCCGTATTCTGTCGTAGCCTGTTTTTATCATCCAAGATAATCATCTGACATCCATCACTTCTTTTATCTGACCCAGAAGTTTAAGACAACAGGTACCCTAACATCTTGACACATCTCTTCCCAACATATGGTCAGCAAAAATCGGGAGGCAGGTTCAGGGTGATTAACCATGACATTACTTTATAGATCTAATGTAGTATGTGTGTATGTGAATCCATATCTATACAAATAATAGTCAAGCATGTGCTTAGAGTTAGAAGAAGATTCAAGATTATGTTTTGTATCCTTGGAGGTTAATATAATATGATTTAGAGATTAAAATATTTTCTCCATCTGAAATTTTGGGAAGCTATCCACACGTAAAAAAGAAAATAAAAATTGAAACAAGGCTGTCTGGGCAAAGAAGGAAGAACATCACTTTATGCTGTACGGGTTGAGCTTACTTGTCTACTGCCTGGCTTAGAGCTGTAAGCATGCACTGGTATCTCTATACTCACTGACTTCCTTGTACACATTGTCACAGGAGGCTTAGCTTAATCAGTTGTGAGCTGAAAAAAGTAATATAAATTGGAACCTTTTGTCATGAAATATTTAAATGTGGATATGATTTAATGGCTTTGGGGAGAAAATTTAGCGTGAGAGATTGTAAGAAACAAGAAATCGATTACATGTAAGAAAGGACTTGAACTTCTAATCAAGTATTACCATATACAGAGAGATCCCTAGCTAGTTATAGCTTAATTCAAAGGGGATAATGGTTAGATTTTTTGTTAATTTTAAGTTTTATCAAAAAATGACATTCCTATTCGCTCTTTATCTAGTTTTGCATAATACAGTGATTTATGGAAAGCCATCACTATGTAAATATTGAAGCATATGCTACGCAGTATCCATAAGTAGTGTGTTTTTTATGAAATATAGGCATCTGTGCAATTTTTCTTCACTTTTGCTGAGGGGAAATAACCAAACAACTTCTTGCTGAAAATTCACAAGATATGGCTTGATGTAACTAGTAGGAGTAGGCAAGGATTATTTAAAAGCAGCATTCTGATTCCCTGCTGTTTCTATGACAGTGAGGGTAACCTCATGGCAATCACACCCTCGTCTGCCAGTTCCTCTGATCAGTGGGACTTAGCAGCTGCTGGATGTCTGGCCCTCCTCATTGGAAATCCTTAGGCTAAGTGAAACAAAGGGTGGTGGCGTCTCATTGGGAGGTAGCTCATGTAGCCAGCTGCCAATTTCTCCCAGTTACGCTGTGGAATAACTACCCAAAAGTGTACTGGGAGCCCTCGCATTGAGATGCTGTCTGCCCCTTGTGTGCCTGCAAAGAGCTGGGTGTGCACGGCCACTGGGTGAGGGCCTTTGTGTCACCACCTTCTGCTTCTTACATGTGGGAGTCTATGATGGGATCTGTACCTACTATTCTAGTGAGTTGTTGTCCTGCTGGCTGCATTTAATTTTTATTTACTTAAATATCCATTTTTGTAAAGCATCCATCTGTTACATAAGCCTGTGAATGATTTACAAATTAAAGCAAAAACAAAACAAATTACTACCAGTAGTACATTGCAAAGCAGCCTGCAGCTGGCTGCAGACAAGAATCCTAATTCAATACATGTAGGTAGTGTAAATTAGACGATGTTATTTCCATCTTCCAACAATGCAAGTTACAATTAGAAAGAATTGATACTTGTGGCTTGGAAACAGAAATGTGTGTGTATAGATTGGGTCAGAGGTGGCGGCGAAGGCCTAGAGACCAAAATCTAAACTGAGTCTGGTTTTGCAGTTCCAGGTAGGGATTACTCAAATGTAGAACAGATATGGCTGGCAGGAAGCTGTGGGAGAAGCAGATGTAAGAGGCTTTAAGTCACCCTCATGGGGAGATTAACCAAAGTTAGTTGGATGGGGAAAAAGGTATAGTCTTTAAAATGAGAACCTGTCCTCTAATGGTTTGTGGTGGCAGTGGTTTTTTCCTCCCTTCACTTGCCCCATTTTGGTTTCGGTTTTTTTCACTTTCTTTTGTTGTTGGGTGGGTTTTTTGATGTTCTGGATGATTTCTACTATCTAGTAAACTGCCTGTAAACTACTGCTCCATCAGACAGGTACAACGGTGAGGGAGTAGAAATTAGAGATGTCCACAGTGCTTTAAGGTGTTCAAAGGCGGGGACATATCCTGACTAATGCTGCAAACCAGGACCAGCATCTGCATCATGGTGTTTCCTTCATCACTGTGTAAATACTGTGTAAATTTTCTGCCTAGAGATGGTTTCCGGGGCTTTCCATCTGGGTTAGCTGGATAAGGTTTTCCATAACTAATTGCTGTGAGGGTTTCACAGTGTTGTACGGTTTGATTGTGAATGGGCACACGTGGAGCCTTTCCAAAGGCTTTACAGTCACATCTAAGGTACTGAAACATACATGGCATTGGCCTTCTTTGTTAGCTTTGTATCCAGAGAGGTGATGCAGATGACAACAAAAATAATAAAACCAACTGTAATCAAATAAGTATATGCTTTACTATTTGGGGCAAATTGCATTTCCCAGTACTCTAGAAAATGTGAGGTGAGAGAAGAGTCAATCCTCTGAAGACTGAAGATAAGAAAATAAAATAATAAATAAGACGGGGGGGCGGGGAGGGGGTG